TTTTTTTTTTTAAAGATTTTTATTTATTTATTTGACAGAGAGATCACAAGCAGGCAGAGAGGCAGGCAGAGAGAGAGGAGGAAGCAGGCTCCCCTAGAGAGCAGAGAGCCTGATGTGGGGCTCGATCCCAGGACCCCGAGATCATGATCCGAGCCAAAGGCAGCGGCCCAACCCACTGAGCCACCCAGGCGCCCCAAAGCCTCAGATTCTTAAAGCAGATATGGTAGAACATGAATTCAGTGTTCATTTTTCTCTGACTTAGGATGTATGTCTGAAAATACCCTTTCATTTGCTTCCTCCTGAACATATAGTTTGGAAAATGTTTAATGCCTGAATGCCAGTGATTTCCAGGGGAGCTCATTAGTGTTCTGGAACTCAAACTAATTTAAAAGTAAAAGAGATCCTTATGCTGTTACCTCCCTCATCCGCTGTAGAGTAAGAGTGGTCCGTGTCATAGTAGCTGCAGTGTTGGCTTATTATTCTCCTATGTCTGTCCCTCAAAAACTGGTCTGCTAGGCATTATGTATTTGTTGCTGTGGGGTGGAAAGAAGGGGGTGTGACTTGCCATGCAGAGTGGCAACATGTTTATTTACTGCTTGGCACAGTTTGGTCATTACCTGGTTGATGGCTTATTTTTATTTTTATTTTGCCTTTTGTTATCTAAACTGTATAGTAATGCCTAATTAACCAAAACCTAGTTTTGTTCAGGGTTTAGCCCTTACCTGGGCTGTTTATGTTTATGGCTGGTGTCTGCTCAATTTAATTAACTTGAACCCTTTGTTTCTTACATCTGACATTTTGTTTTTAATTTTTAAGTATCAAATCATATATTTGTAGAAAACGTGAAATAAGTAAAAGCACAAATTAAATTTCTACAACACAGATACAACTATTTTGGTTATGTAGTTATATGCACTTATAAATTTATTGGTTTAGATCTTTAATAAATCCTATTCTTTTGGAACACATGGGTGGCTCAGTTATTTAAGCATCTGCCTTCAGCTCAGGGTTTTGGGATTAAGCCCCATTTTGGGCTCCTTGCTCAGTGGGGAGCCTACTTCTCCCTCTGCCTGCCACTCCCCCTGTTCGTGTGCGCTCTCTCTGACAAATAAATAAATAAAATCTTTAAAAGAGAAACAAATCCTATTCTGTTTATAATTTTTTTACTTAACCTTTTTTATTGTTAGTATTTGATTCTCAAGAGTATGCAGCAGATCACATAACCAACAGAAAATTCTTTTAAAAAAATTAGCTCCTTAATGCACATAATACTAGTGTGTTCTAGTATTAATGAAAATTCATCACATCATCCTATACTCATATAAGTGAGAGGCTGGCTGACTTTCTAAAGGGCCATACGTAAATTTTTGGTTTTGTGGGGTCTACTGTCTCTGCACCCACTCAATTCTGTTGTAAGTCCAAAGCATCCATAGATAATATATAAATGAATGGATATGACTGTTCAGTAAAACTTCATGTACCAAGTCAGGTGGCAGCTGAACTTGGCTTGAGGGATATAGTATAGTGACTGGTCTATGGTATGCCCTATGAGGATTTCTTTTCAGAACATGGTCAAAAGTTGGATTGTTGGTTAACATTTCTCTTTTAAAGCTGAAAAAATGATTAATCATTTTTAAAAACATTTTAAGCCACTAGGGTTAAAACACACAGGGTTTCTATTAAATCTCAATTAACCACTCCCCATTAAGTTAAACTCTATATCCCAGAATTCTGATAGTTTTTATCAACTATAATACTGTTTAATAGTTTTTATTAGGTAAAATGAAGAAGTTGCATTGAAAACACATGATATCTAATATATTCAGTAATATTTATGTATAGTCTCCCCTTTATGCAATGCATAAAAAGCATGTTTTAATTCTATTATGTTTAGCCTTAAGGAGAAAACTATTTTTTGGTACTTTGAATCACTTAAAAATATATGATTGGCAGAAAATGATTAAGATACTGTACTTTCAGAGCATTTCATGCTGAGCAAAGTTCTGCATATGTAGATAGTAGAGTATCCTTTTTATTTGGAGGGTTGTGGTCTTCCCCACCCCAACTTTTCTGTCTTTCCTTCAGATATGGGTGTTGATAATGGTTTTAAAATAACTTAGCACAGAAACTGGTTGCAGTTGAGGGATAGAGTATTTTTCTGCTGGTCAATAAATGACCCATGGTTTTTTCATATCATTTGCATTCTTGTGATTGCTCTGCTCATAATCTACTGTACATAGAAAATCTGTTTTGTACTGATTACAATAATTTAAAACTGTGGTTGGTAATTTATGTTATTAGAAATGATGCAGGAAAAATAGACTTTGGTATAACTTGAATATTAAATTAAATTTATCATTCTGTCCTAATTTTAGCATGCATATTATAGCAGAACTACAGTACTGAGACTTCTAGAAAAGAAATATAAATCCCTGGTAAGTCTGTTTCTGTCCTTATGTTGAGAAATAATATCACACAAAGATATACGATGTAATAACTTATTGTTAAATATGCAAAGTTGAGTGATAATTAATCTTGGTTGATGAGGCAATCCCCCTTTTATGTGATTTTTTAAAACTAGCATTCTGTGAAACATAAAAGGGTAAAAGTAGAGACAAATTATAGTCAGGATAACAATTAGGAAATCTATAGTTACATAGTAAATGGAGATGTAATAAGCTAGTTTGAGATGAGCCTTATTTTTAAGTATAGTAACTTAATTCAGGTCAGTTATTCGTAGGGGAGTTAGTTCTGTAAAATATACCCATGCTTTTGACTGAAAGTTGTATGAAAAACTCAGAATGATAAATGCTTTTGTATTTACAAAAATTAATTCGTTACACTAAATATAAACTAATACAGTAAAATATATTAGCAAAATTTTCTGTGTTTATTGCTATTAGTAGAATAGTGTGTAAAGGCATTGAAAGTAATTGAAAAGCAATCAAATCTGATAATAATTGACAAACATAAAATGTGAAATTTATTAAAATATTTTTCCAATATGACTTTGAAATAATAAGTATGATTTCTGTAGCTAGAATCTTCAGTTTAAAAGGGCAAGGGAGGGGAGCCTGGGTGGCTCAGTGGGTTAAAGCCTCTGTCTTCAGCTCGGGACATGATCCTAGGGTCCTGGGATCGAGCCCCACATCGGGCTCTCTGCTCAGCGGGGAGCCTGCTTCTTCCTTTCTCTCTCTCTGCCTGTTTCTCTGCCTATTTGTCATCTCTGTCTGTCAAATAAATAAAATATTAAAAAAAAAATAAAAGGGCAAGGGAAATATTTCTGGAGTTGTGAACTTCTGGTTGAGTGTAGCATAAAATGAAAGAACAATTTTTGTGTGTGTGTGTTTGAGAATCAAGAGCATTGAGTTTCAGAAAGGAGAAGGAGAAGAGAAGAATGCTGAAGAATAGGGTGGGGATTTATAGCAGAAGTGGTAACTGTTTGGCGGCGCCTGGGTGGCTCAGTCAGTACAGCGACTGAGCCTTGGGTTCAGGTCATGCTCTGTAACGGAGGAAGGCTCCAAGCTCAGCAGGGAGTCTGCTGGAGATTCTTTCTCTCTCCCCCTCTCCCTTCCCCCTACCTGCACAGATGCTCTTTTTCTGTCTCTCAGATAAATCCTAAAAAAGTAGTGTTTAAAAATGTTTAATGAATTGAAATAAATTCCTTCTACATCCCATTTCCCCCTCTCATTCCTATTTTAAATGAAGATTTTTGCCATATGAATATAGACTGATCTTATCAAAATAGAGGAAAGGAGGAGAAACATCAATGATTCACTCTCTCCATGGTTTGTCCTACAACTATTTCACTGTTGCTATCACAGGGTTCCGGGTGGAAGTATTGCAAATGTTTCTGATAGATTAATTTTTAACAGATTTTTAAGAATTAATTATACCATAATCAATCTGAAAATAGTTACTTTATTATAAAGAACTTTATATCAAATATTTCCTGTATGTAATGGGTCAAACTTGCATGAGATTTCAACTTAAACCTCATTTTCTCTTAAAAAGCTTTCCTAAACTTAAAAAATATGAGTGAATGTGCTATGGTGAGTGCTGTGAAGTGTGTAAAGCTGGCGATTCACAGACCTGTACCCCTGGGGATAAAAATATATTATATGTTTATAAAAAATAAAATTAAAAAAAATATGAGTGAGTTCATATCAATAGAGAAGGGATAGCAACTCAGGTACTCTTAATTGCTAACTCCTAAGATGGAGGGAGGGCAGAAGAGGGAAGTTAAAAAAAACCGGGTATATGCAAAACCAAGAGGAAATTTAAATTCTAGTTGTCAATATTTTTTTAAATGACTTTGAGAGGGCAAGAAAAAGGAAATACACTACATAAAGCCATTTCAGAAGCCATTCCCTTAAAGGTAGATAGGACAAAGAATGAAGTTGTTAAAATAATAATTTAAATATGCTGATAGCCAAAATGCCTTTCAGCTAGCTCATGACTTTACAATGCTATGAAAATAAAGCTCTTAGCTTTCTCAGCTCTTAAGTTGACAATGCAGGGGGCACTTGGGTGGCTCAGTCAGTTAAGCCTCTGCCTTCGGCTTAGGTCATGATTTCAGGGTCCTAGGAATCGAGGCCCACATTGGGCTACCTGCTCAGCAGGGAGTCTGCTTCTCCCTCTGCCCCTCCGCTCTATGCTTGTGCACAGGCTCTCTCTCAAATACGTAAAGTAAGTAAGTGAGTAAATAAATAAATAAATAAAATCTTTAAAAAAATTGACAGCACATACATACATTGTCTTCCCTAATGCTATCCTACTTGAAATTTTGTAAATGCATTATTGCATAAATGTAATAGATTGCAGAGTAGCCACTAACCATGTATTAATTTTAAATTACAATGAAAGAAAGTTCAAAAATGCCCAGTTCCCTCAATTTCCCTAATTACAAGATTTTAGTAGCCACGTAGAGCTAGTAGCCATTCTATGGGACAATGCAGACATTCCACAGTTGCAGAAAATGCTGAAGGTATGGGGGAGATGATAGAAGAAATGATTTAGCAGCTCATTATGCCAAACATACTGCTGTCATTAAAGTTCGTGTGAGGAACTCTTATAAAGCAAAAGACAAATGCTTGGAATGGTCATAAAATTTCCACTATACATGCACAGAATCTGATCTTCACTTATGAAAAGTGGGGATAGAGTTTGTATTCTTTTTTCCCAATGTTTCTTTTCAAAAGTTAAGCCATGTATACTTTAAAATTTATACACTCACACAAACACAAATCTTTTGGTACTTGCCTCTACTGAATATATAAAGGAATGCTCCATAGGGAACAGAAGGCTTGATCTAGTTCATATTCTGTTGGCTAGATAGGAAGAAAAGACTCTAAGGCAAGTGAACTGAGGATATTGGCAAGAGAGTTCCTAAAGTCATGGTCACAGAATTTTTGCATCTTTCACTATAAAGTAGAATTATGAATTGATTTTTATCCATTGACACTGACATTATAGCAATATTGTTGGTCCACATGTTTTTGTGGTGTTTCCCAGAATGATGCCATAATTAAAATTTAACTGGGATCCTGAGCTTCAGTGGCCTGGAAAGGTATTATTTTAAATATTTTTTCCAGCATATTTTTAGAACCTCAACTAACTTTTTTTTTTTTTAACTGCTTGAGCTTGGGGGCTATAAATTTCTAGAATTAATAAGTTATTATTTTATTAGATAACTACAGCAGTTCAGCAGTGTGTTCAGTACTTTGAGTTGTGTGAAGCCGTGAAAGCTGATGAGATTTTGGGTCATTCAAAGCATTGTGGTAAGTATTGTTTTCTCCGTTACATACTTTTAAAGATGATACATTTGACTAATAGCTTAGTAACTTACTTTTTAATGGTCAGTAGCATGGTAAATTAGATCACTTCTGCTAATGTAAAATATTTTCACAAGTTTTAAAAGACACAGCATGACTTTAATAACAGCTGTACATTTGAAATTAATGCATTATCGTATAGATTCTTACATATGCAGCTCTTCAGTTTATACCAGAGTATATGTCCTAGTCTGTTATATTGCAATAATATGCTGCTCATTCTTTCCTCTGGTTTATTAGTCATTTAATTATCCTTTTTATGCATTTTAGGAGGAGGAACATTTCTGTGAAATATTGTTTTATTACTGGATACCCCACCCTGTGATTCCTGTCTGCCTGTCCTCTTTCTGAGCTAAAATACCCTAGATGTTTCATAATCTGACCTTAATCACTTTATTAAATCTTAGGAATAATTAGAGTGGATCTTCTGTTATAGTCAGATTCTGCTACATACAAGTGTCTATACACTTTTGTTAATCTTTTTGAATTCTCTTTTGTCACTTCTCTAAGCAAATAGTAAGTTCTCTGAGAATATGAAGGTCTTATTTTTTTATCCTTGGGTAAATTCTTTAACTCAGCAAGAAAAATGGTCAAAGACCAATAATAAGTGGGTTTCAAAAACTAGTGTTGTGTATGTAGTAAAGGGGGAAGTACAGAAGCCAAAATTTATTCGAGGAGGAGAAGGATAAGTTTACATAAACTATCTCCTTTATAAATTTATGGGTTTTTAAAATTTCTTGATATTAAAATGTTATATATAGTTCTTTTTTTTTCTGACCACCATTCTACTAGGACATCATGGCTTTGCTCTCTTCCCTATCTAGTGAAGACTTGGCATGCTTCATGCTTTTTATTTATCTATTTTTTCTTCCTTTTTTGCTATTTCTTTCAGAATCCTTGCTCTTTCTCTTTTATTTCAGAATTTCCTGTCTGTAGTTTCTTGTCTTTAGATCAGTTCAGTCTTCCATTCTCCCTGGTCTTCAGGAAATTGAGCAGAGAGCATTTGTTATATACTTAATGGGGATATATACTTTTTTTTTTTTTTAAGATTTTATTTATTTGAGGGAGAAAGCACAGAGGGAGAGGGAGAGGGAGAGGGAGAAGCAGACTCCCCACTGAGCAGGGAGCCTGAGGTGGGGCTCAGTCCCAGGACCCTGAGATCATGACCTGAGGGGAAGGCAGATGTTTAATCAACTGAGCCACCCCGGCGTCTAGTGGGCATACATAGTTTTCTAACTATAGCAACTGTGTCCTCTTAGATACTTTTTCTTAGATATTCTTAAATATTCTTTCTTCAGTAGAAGCTTTCACCAGTCTTATTAAGGGCTCTGCTTTGCCCTGGCCCATTTTTCTCTGAGCGGCAGACTTTGCATCCTACTGTACTAAAAAAAGGGGAACTTGGCAGATACGAATTCCCCAAATTTCCTGCTTCTGAGCATACAAGTGCATGTTTGTATGCCCTTACTAATGTCCCTTTTCTTTGGATTGCACTGAAGAGGTATTCCTTTCCAGATTGATAATTTTGTTCTTGTTTCTGTTCCTATATGGCGTTCTTTGGGTTTTGTTTCTGTTTTAGAACTAGGATATTGCTTCAGTTGTTACTGTGTCTCCCTTTCTGTTGGTACTTCCCCTGCATCATCTGACCCTCCTTATTATGTACCTTTTAAATAAAGACCTGAGCCAGTTCACATGTATTTTACCTTTTTGCTTCCCTGCAGCAAAAACTCTTCTAAGTATCCCAAATACACCTAGGCCCCATTCCTTAACCTCCTATTCACTTTTCAGCAGTGGAAATGAGGCAATTTCTAGTGCTCCATGATTTTCCCATTATCACCTTCCCTCTTTCTTGTCCTAATTTTACAACCTTTGTCTCTGTTTACCCTTTCTCTCTTCTTCATGGTACCATTCTTTCTTGGATTTCCTCATTCTCGTGAGGAATCCTCATTACACTGGAAAGGCTCTTTTCTTTGTAGTATGTACTCAACAAGGGTTTTGCCCTTTTCTTCTCATCTTAGTCTATCTGTTCTCTCTTGTGGCAGCCCATTTACTTTCATGGTTTCGAATACTGTATGGTGACTCTGAAATATTTAAGTCTGCCACTTTACTGAATTCCAGATCCATATACCCATATCATAATTAGAATATCTATCTGGGTGCTCCATGGCATTTTAATATTAAAATATCAAGTATTGAAATCACTTTATTCTATATCTAGACTGGTTTCTTCCTCCTTTCTCCTTTAAAATTACTTAAATAGAATAAACATTCACTATGTATCCAGATGCTGAGGTAGGAACTTGAGAATTTTCTTATTTTCTCACAGTCCCCATGTAGTCCTGTCTAAGGCCTGTTGACTTAATTTTCTTAAATATTTATCTGTCTGCTCTTTTCTGTTCTTGTTGCTGATGCTTTCACTCATGATTTTTTTATTCTCATTTCAGACCTTTACCTTCTCCCATCTACCTTTTATGCCACTCTCAGGGTTAGTTTTTCACATGCATATTTGATTACTTTCATGCTTACAACCCTTTAATATCTTTTCAGTCGCCTCTATAATAAAATTCATTTTCCTTCTGCAGCTTAGTCCTCTGTGATCTGCCCCTGTTACCCTCTAGCCTCTTGTCTCTACCACTGGCCTCCTCAAGTTCTGGTCATACAAGACGGCCATACTCTGAATTAGAAGCCCAATATCATGCTTCTTACTGGTTTTTGACACCAGCAAATAGTTCAAGGTCTTTAATCAAAAAGGTACTCAGTAGATCTTGAATGTATGGATGAATGATATATATTAGGTGTATGTATTTTACAGATTCTAATTTCATTTGCTAACCTGGTTATAAATACCGTTTTTTATAGTATTGACTTCTAATTGGTAGAATTAAACAGTAATATTTTCTATTGCTTCCTCCCTTAACTTGAAGTTTCTCTTGATAACATAATTCTGATAATCTTATGCCATTTTAGAATGAATACTGTATGCATCTTACACTTTATTGAGTCTAAATTTTGTGGTGAATGCTTTTCCCCAGAGATTTAGGTATTATTGGATCTTAAGGAAGCTAATTAACTTTTTTTTTTTCTTGTTAACACCAGCAGAGTCTTCATTATAGACTGCAACCTTGTTTAATGTTCAGAAGGGAATGAAGATAGGTATTATCTTAAATATAATAGCATTAAAATAAATGTATTTGTTTGCTTTTCTTTTAAGGGAATAAACAGAAAACCTTCTACTACTCAGGACAAGAATTACAATATATTTATTTCATTCACTCACTATGCCTTTTAGGAAGGTTATTGATCTATACACAAGGCAGACGGCTATTTCCCATAAAGCTGAAGAATAGAAAAGGTAAGTACAATTAGGAAAAACAAATATGTTTATCTTGGTAAGGTTGTGCTATGAATTACTAAATTTTGAAGATTTTGCCTGGTCCCTTTTAGGATACATAGTGACAAACCTTTTGGTTTACTGATGGCTTATATGCCTTGAAGTATTACATTTGCTTTTATCAGTATGTACTTTCCCCCACATTCTAGTTTTTTTTATTCATCCAGCCTTTAATGCTTTTCTTATTTCTCCCTGTTTTTCAAAATCCTGGACATACTGAATGATCCATCTCTGGATTCAGAACAAGAAGACCTTGTTTAAATTCTAGTTCCCTTATAAACTGGCTGTGACTTTTGGGCAACTTACTTAACCATTGCTTGTTTTTTTTTTTTTGTTTGTTTGTTTTTTTTTTTTTTTTTTTTAATCTACAAAAATGGAATAAAATTGGTGATACTGAGCTCACACAGTTTTGTGATGATCAAAGATGAAGTTTTAGAATACTGTTACAAACTACAAAGCCCTGTACCACTTAATATATTACTATGTTACAACCCATGGGCAACTCTTATTTTTTTTAAAGATTTTATTTATTTATTTGACACAGAGAGACACAGCGAGAGAGTGAACACAAGTAGGGGGAGTAGGGGAAGGAGAAGCAGGCTTACTGCTGAGTAGGGAGCCCATTGCGGGGCTTGATCCCAGGGCTCTGGAATCACACTGGAGCCGAAGGCAGAGGCACAATGACTGAGCCACCCAGGTGCCCCTAACTCTTATTTTTAAAGTTTTCCCCATCAAACTTGAGCACACACTGTTACTTTTTTGCCTCCCTTAAAACTTCAAGGTTATACCAGGAATAGCTGGTCTAGCAGCCAGCAAACTTTTTCTTTAATGTGTCAATAGTATTTTTGGTTTTGTGGGCCACATACTGTCTCTGTTGCATATCCTGTGTTTTTGTGTATACATGTGCTCATGTGTGTAAAAGAGTTACCACAGCAGGTCTACGACTGCTATCCTTAGGAAGGCCTGCTTGCAAGGTTTCACTAGCTGGCATCTCGGAACTTGGGTTTCTCTCTCTTCCCAGAACTTATAAGAGTGGTTCACTGTGCCTACCTAAATGTTTTGTACACGTAGTGTAGTTTATACTGAATATTTGCTTTTCTCCTGGGAGTCTGGAATCCTGGTATGTGCTAGGCAGAGGGTGCTTATGTCATCAGCCTCCAGTAAAAAGCGTGAGTACTGAGTCTCTAAGAAGCTTCTTGGTAGCCAACATTTTAGATATGTTGGCACAGCTTGTTGCTGGAAGAATTAAGTGTCTTTTGTGTGACTTTTGTGCTGGGAGAGGACCCTTGGATGCTTGCAGCTGGACCTTATCTCATATGCTTTTGCTTTGTATCTTTTGTTGTGGTGTATCATAGCTGTGAGTACAACTATACGTTGAATCCTCCTAGTGAATCACTGAATTTGGGTATGGTTTGGGGGACCCTTGACACATTTTACACACCTTTAAAAGTGTAAAAACATTTTTAGCTTGTGAGCCTTAGGTAATTAGGCCATAATTGCTGTAGTTGCCAATCCTGTTATGGAGTATCTTCATTTTGAACACTTTTGTAGTGTTTCCTGGTTGTTTTACTTAAGGTTTTCTCCTAATTAATGCTGGTTGTGAGCTAAAAAAAAAAAAAAGAGAGAACCGTTTTATGTACTTCTATATCCTGTGGTCTTGTAATTCTAGGCATAATGAGCACTTAGAGAATGGACTTTCCAGAAAAGAGCTGACATTTTATAGATATTGTTGAACTTTACAGAAATAGATTAATAAATACTTGTGATGTTATTGCAAGTATTGAACTGAAGTTTATATATCTATCATCTGTAATTTAACAGTTTATGTTGACTTTTAATATCAATCTTTTGGCCTGACAAATGTCACAGATCATCTCAAAACTCTGTTTTGAGAGCTTTGTTCTACTGTATTAGTGGAAGTCAACATTTACCTCTAAGCTTCACCTGTATTTTCACTGGAATCATGATGAAAAGATTCTGTAGGAGGGATTGGTAAATTACAACCCATGGGCAAAATCTGGTACTGTTTTGTATGACTAGTGAGCTCATTACTGAAAAAAATTACAAGACTGTTTTGTGACATATGGAATAAAATTAAAATTTGGTGTGTTTAAAGTCTTATTGGAAGACCGTGGTACTTGTTCATTTGCAAGTGAACTGTGGCTCCTTTACAGCATCATAATTGAGTATTTGTAACAGAAACAGTTTGGGTATTGAGCCTAAAATATTTCCTAGGGAAAGTTTGATACCTGTTCTATAGTTCTATATAGATAAGCTGGCTGGAACAGCGTATGAAGCTGAATTTTATCATTTCTAAAAAACTCCTGGTCCTGATGAGATTCCTAGATCTTCCTGTCATAGGTTTATATGAAGTGATGGGTCCACCATAGGTGGTGAAGCTGCACGTGTATGTAGCACCTACTGCATTATTGTCCCTACCACCCTTTAACTCCCCATGTCTAATTTGTTTTCCTGGAGTCTTCTGTCTTGGGTTCCAGCTCCCTTCTCCCTAATTTTACCACAGTCTCTGAAAACTCAGGAGGATGGGAAGCTCAGTTAAATTTTTCTAAGTTGTAAGTATATACTAGAAAATAATCTTTTTCTTTTTTCCTTTTCAAAGATTTAGTATCCCTTACAGATCTTCTGGTTCTGTTCACCCAACTTATCTATTACTCACCAAGTTGTCCAAAGATGACATCAGCTGCACATTTAGGTAATTCTGCTTCTCTTTTAAATAGTGTAATAGAAGACATCTAAAAATACTTAATAGTCCATTGTCTAGACATTTTGGGTGACTGACCTAGTTGGGTAAAGAGATTTCCTAAGATGCAGTATTACTCATAACAAATTACATTGGTCCTGGAATTAATCCATGAAATTTAATTTTGTTCATTGATGTTTTAAGTTGTTCCTAATTTACTACCTTTTTATGTAGAATCAGTTTTGCTGAGAATTTTAATGTTGTTCTTAAGGTCAAGATGTTCTTAAGAAATGCTGTTAAGATAGGTTTGATTGGGGACGCCTGGGTGGCTCAGTTGGTTAAGCAGCTGCCTTCGGCTCAGGTCATGATCCCAGCATCCTGGGATCGAGTCCCACATCGGGCTCCTTGCTCATCAGGGAGCCTGCTTCTTCCTCTGCCTCTGCCTGGCATTCTGTCTGCCTGTGCTTGCTCTCTCTCCCTCTCTCTCTCTGACAAATAAATAAATAAAATCTTAAAAAAAAAAAAAGATAGGTTTGATTGATAGGTACTACTGTGTTCTTTCTTGTGTTTTCTGGGCTTTATACTTGCCTGATGTTTTGATCAGTCTGCTTGTTTTAGCTCACATCTAAAACTTCAGATCTTCTCTTATTACAGAATAAAGCAAAAACAAAAACAAACCATGATTTTCAATGTAATAACTTTTAGTCTTTAACTGTTGACTGGATAAAGAGGTTTAATATATTAACATTTAAAAGATAACTTATACTTTTTCTTTAGAGTATCAGTGAAAGTTTACAAAGTAAAACAATTTAATAACAAAATGCTCCCATAATCTATAGACTCATAGTGTTCTAAACCTGCGTGTTACCATAGGAAAGCTGGCAAAATTCTGAGAAGAATTCAAGTGAATCAAAGAAAAAAATTAGTTTGGGCCATATATATTAATGCTATATGCCTCTATCAACCGGTATGCTTTTTTTATGCAGTTATAATAGTTTATTAGTCTTAACAATGGCCCTCAAACTTCTTTCTGCCTTTACAGCATTTCCATGTATAAACCTGTAGCTTAGGTCCTCCTGAGATATGCTCCTATAACATACTGTGCTTCCTTTGTTAAAAATGTTCCTATGTGTAATTATTTGTCAGTGGACTGTTTTTTAATTTTTTTGGTGTGTGTTAGTTAATTCTGTTTATAACGCTTAGCACAGTGTCTGTCACATAGTAGGCACTCAAAAGTAGATAAAAGAATGAATGAATGAACAAATGAATGGCCATATGCTCAGCAGTAGTATCTCTCATTGTAAACAGGGTCTGGAACTGGTTGGAAAAACAGCACTTAACTTTTCTTCTCCATTTTCTTTTTGTCAAGTATTGACTTCAAGTCTTAGTGTGCATGGACTATAGAATATTATAACCTAAATTATGAATTTTAATGTTACTTTTACTATTATAGCTTACAACCTTGAGCTGCTAACTTTTGGTTCCTTACTGTCTTGTAAAATACTATTTTGTGTGTAGATTGGATCAAATAATCTGAAAATATATTGGTTTGTGATACCAAAAATATTACTTATTTTAGTGACTATTCCCTGTGTTACATGTATTTGTATTTGTGTTTTCCTGTATATATCTTAAAAGAAGGTCTTTACAATGCTCATTCATTTCACCAGTTTTATGGTGATAACAAATAGTGGTGTATTAGAAAAGGAGGTTTCACCTCTTCTGCCTTTTTAGCCATCCTTTTGGTTTGCTTTGATTTTCTACTAGGCTGGACACTTGAATACATATATATTTTTAAAGATTTACATATTTATTTGAGAAAGAGTACATTTGTGGGGGAGGGGCAGAAGGAGAGAGAGAATCTCAAGCAGACTCACCATTGAGCGTGGAGCCTGATGCAAGGTCTGTCTCACAACCCCGAGATCATGACCTGAGCAGAAATCAAGAGTCAGCTGCCTATTGACTAAGCCCCCTAGGTGCCCCAAATATATATTCTAAGAAAAAGAAAAAGCAAATACAAGTAAGTGTTTGCTGGGAGGACAAAAGTTGTAAATTTGCTTCAAATCACGTCTTCACTGTTACTCAGTGACTTAATGTGAAACAGTGAGTGATCTGTTGTTTCTCAGCATTCAGATTTTGTCGTTTACTTTTTAAAAATTAACCTGAGGATATATTGAGCTTAATTGATCTTCCCTTAGGTTTCAAGTAATAATTTGACAATACCTCATCCTTTGGGCATTGAGTTGTGTGATTTTTTTTTTTAAACTATTTAACCTTGTTGCTCTTTTTATTTGTTTATTTTTTGTTGTTGGATCTTTTTAGAACAGCAATGGCTAACTCATAAATAAGATGTATTAAGTTCTTAATGTTTAAAATTTTAATTTCTAAAAATACTTGTTTATCAGATAATTACTCTCCTGCCAGTATGGTGACTGAAGTTCTTCGGATATTGTGTGATCAAAAAGAATGTGCAATCGAATGCTTATATAATAACACTGTGATTGAGGCACTTCTTCAGCCTATTCATAATTTAATGAAAGGAACTAAGGTTGGTACTTACTAAAGAGAGTCTCTTAATTGGGTATTAGGGAATATTCAAAGGGACTTTATTTCTGAATTCGATGTATTTGAAATATTTATTATAACATCTTTCCATGTATGAATGTATTTTATGCTGACATAGATTTTTATGTACTGTTAAATATTAGTTTATGTAGTCAGTTGATTTATTTGTTATTGACAATGTGGGGGGAAATACATATACCATAATTTTTTTTCTAGTCAGGCTTAGATATGATTACAAGGATTGGAGAAGTTATTAAGGTATTTGTCTTGCAAATCTAATAAATCTTGTGAATTTTATTCTTTGTTTTAATAGCAATTTTATAGCCTTTACATTATTTTTCTGAAGTCAGCTCTGTTTTATGTGAAGAACTAGTTTTTTAGAAAAAAGAATACATATGTTCAGAATGGGGATGTTTATATCTCTTTACAGTTTGTATGGCCTGTTCTTTTATTTATTTATTTATTTAATTTTTTAACATTAATTTTTTAAATTGGCCTGTTCCTTTAATTGTATAATGTAATCCTTACGACTGATGCTAAAAGAAGTGGATTACTCAAGGTCAGACATTTAACAGTGGCAGAATTGATACCACTAGCAGCACTGCTATCTGTCCATTTCTATGACTTAAGCTTCGGGGGGAATGACTTAAGTCTTAATAGGCTAAAAATTTTGCCTTTCCATGTCTGTGTTTTGTAGTGTTTTTACTGTTTTCATCTCCTATTCCTGCCCCTCTATAGGCTGGGCAACTGTTCACCCCATCATGTAGTCATTACTCTTTGTTCATTCAGAAAACATTAAGCATTTATGTGAATGTGCTACAAAGTATGGAATTCTAGGTAATTAAGGGGCTGTAATTTTGATTTTATGGTTAGCCTTGGGAAGATAAGTAGTGAAGAACCAACAGAATTCCTAATACAGTTTAATATAATAGAATGCCATAATGTCAATAGTAACATGAAATATGAACCTTATACCAGAGTTGAGAAATATGCTCTTGGATTTTGTTTCCATGCCATTGTTTGTCTTTGCTTGCATGTATCTTTAACTTTTTATCTTCTTGTAGCTTTTTTCCTTTATCTGTAAATATGCCTGAATCTGTCTCATAGTTAGGATGAGAGAAGCTCTTGATCATCCAATGCACATCTCTGGTTACCCCCTAATATCTGATCTTTTTAATGATAAGCTTTTAATTATGGAAAACTGCCATTGTTGTCCTGGTTCCCTCTATTCTGTCATGTTTCAAAACACTGCGTTTCGATCTTACCTCCAGCACAGTATTTATGCTGCTTTCATTGCTGTTGCTTGTAACTTCCTACACCTGTAACCGGTGACCACTTTTCAGACTATTATCTACCTGATTATTAACACAATAGACAACTTCTAAAATTGTTTATATGGCTTTCCTAAATTTCTATACATTTTTCACCCTCGCTTTCTAACCATTCTTTCTCTGTCACCTATGAGGGCTCCCCCTTCCAGGTCCCTGCTGTCTTCAGTGAGTCACAACCTAGTTCACTCTTTTCTTTCAGAAGGGAGTTTTTCCTAGATGATTTCCTCCAGTTCCGAAGATTAGATGTATAGTTAACTTCTAAATTTAGATCTCTTCAGCTCCAGATTTGTTTTTAGATGTCTGCTAAACACTTTTTGAGTTACTCCATGAGCAAATCAAACTCAGTTTTCAAAACAATAGTTTTTGGTTTGTCAGGTTTTTCTTTTTCTTTTCATTTTCTTTCTTTTCTTTCCTTTTTTTTTTTTCTCTTCTCCACTTCTTCAAGCTCTCATATCTAGACTTCTTCCTCGTTTTCTTCATTCCATTTATAATTAAGCCTGGTAGACTTGTTCTCCTATGCAGCTCTAAAATCCACATATGTCTTTTAATCCCTACTGCTGCTGATTTTGTTTAAGCTCTGATAATCCCTTGCTTGGAATATTGAAATAATTTTCTTATTTTTTCCAGTCTTTCACCTCTCTGCCCTGTCCTTTGTATTGTCACTAAAGCCATCACAATGCTTTCTTGCTTGTTGCTCGCTAGATAAATGTATAGTTAAAAAGTCTGAAATTTATTAACTTTTATATTGTATCCTACCTATTTTTCCCATGTATTTCAGTTATAACAGATCATTTGCATTTTTTGATAAGATTATAATATTTCCTTATTTTTACATACTTTACCCTCACCCTGGGATGTCTTGGTTTAAGTGAAAAATTCATAGTATAATTTATTATTTTTTTCTCTGAAAATTTGTTCTGGTTCTTCATGGGAAAGTTAGGCATCTATTTCTCTATATTCCCATGAAATAAAGAAGAGATTAAGACTTATACTTTTCTCTGAAAGAACCAATTCTAATAGGAAAGGCAGACTATTAAAATACTAGATGAGGAATAGAAAGGTTTTTTAAAAAGTGAATATATGAGAGAAGGCAAGTATTCCAGGCAAAAGTTTTTTTTAAGAAAGGTATTTAATGTGAAAATAATAGACTATATAATAATGCCTAATATAATAAAGAAATATTCAGGTGAACAAGCCTGACTCATTAGTTATGCTAACCCACTGAATTGATTAGGCTGTATTGCTTGCAAAGTATAAGTACTCAGATCTCTTATAGAGAATATGTGTATTGGCAGCTGTGTAGGTATAGACAATAAATAGGCCCCAGAAAGAACAGGAACTTTAGTAGACTTAGGCTTCTAGATGGGCTCCAGCCATCTGTGGATGACTCTAGTTTTTATTATTTGCCTTATACTAATTTGCTATATACTGGCAAAGATATTTTTAGTATTTCCATTTAAAATAAAGAAATATGATTGGTTCATCCCCCATTAGATGACATCATTGGTTATGGGCCAGCCCATGGAATTGGATGTCCTTACTCAGACCTATAACTCATAATCCAACCAATTGCATGAAGGAATGGTGTTCCCTAGAAATGATGACAGTGTGTTAGAAACCATGTATAATAAAATTAAGGTAGATATTCAGGAACCAGTGAGTGGGAAGTAAAGGGCAAAGTGGATTTAGAGGAGCTACTGCATTTGTCAAACAGAATTATATATAAAACTGTAATGAGAATAGCACTTCTCTCAACTGTCTCAATAAATAATAACTGGTTTGGATAAAAAGTCTATATGTAGTTGCCTCATCAGCTGTCCTGGTAAGTGAATATGACGCATTTAATCAGACATACTTCATAGCCAATCATTAACTTTCTTTTTGTTGTAGTAATGTAACTTTGTTAGACTACACTACCACACTTAAATTTTAGTCTGTGGATTGTTAGCCTGCCATAACATTATATGATTTGTTATCTTTTTAATGTATAGGCTGCTCCAAATTGCTCTGAAACAGCTTTAATTCATATAGCTGATATTTTGGCAAGAATTGCATCTGTAGAAGAAGGACTTACCTTACTACTTTATGGAGAAAATATGAATTCCTCTGAAGAAAAAAGGTATATGTCTGTGTTTTAAGTTTTTGGAATTTTTAGCATATTTTCTCGATCTGATTCAAAGTTTCCAAAATGTCATACAATATGTTAATAATGAAAATCAGGATAACTATTCTAGATAGTTAGGTTCCTGATCAGCCACTAACAGTGTATTATATGATCACAGGTTGAAGTAGTAACCAGGATTATGGAATATGCAGGCAGAATAGGTCTTGATGTGAGCAACTTCAAAGTAAGAACAGGAGGGTTCACTCTAGATGGGAAGTTTTTGCTGCTTGAACTTTTTCAGACTTCTAAAGCCACCCACAGCTGATTCAAGTCAAACCTCACAAAGGTGCACAAAGGAAAAGCTAACTTCTCCATCTTCCTTCTCTACCCTCGCTTAGTTCTATCTCCTGGTTAGTTACCAATGGTAACATTTTGGTTATGGTTTTAGACTTTCTCTGAACTTATAATGATCTATCAAACATATATTCATAATCACAGAATTTTTGTTTCCTTTTCATAAAAATAGCATCATATACAATATTCACTTTTCTTATGTGTAACCATAAGCATCTTCCCAGATAAGTAAAAAATGAAACACTGTTTTTAATAGTTCCATAGTACTTTGATATGGCCTTACCATAATATTTTAAAACTTTTACCCTATTAATATCAGATTGTATCTAGGATTTTGCCTCCATAAATAATGCCACAATAAGTGTTTTTTTTTTTTAAAGTCTTGATTGTGATAGATTATATTAATCTTTGAATAGTAAACTCAGCATTGCATACCTAAAATAAATCCCATTTTGTTGTGGTATAAAATTCTCTTTATATATTGTTAGATTTGATTTGCTAATCTTTGTTGAGGATTTTGTGTCTATGCTCATGAGAGATATCAAACTGTATTTTTTCTAATATCATTGTTTGTTCTTGTTCTATTCTAATGCTACCCTCATAATGAGTCAGAAACAGAAAGAATGCTTTCTGTTTTCTGGAAGAGATTGTGGAGAATTGGTATAATTTCTTCTTTAAATGTCTGATAGACTTCACTAGTGAACCTATTTGGGCCTGGTGTTTTCTGTTTTGAAAGATTATTAATTGATTCAATTTTTATGTTAGATATGTGCTTATTCAGATTGTTTATTTCTTATGTGAGTTTTGGCAGATTGTGTCTTTCGAAGGATTGGTCCACTTTTCTTATTCATTAAATTTGTGGATATAGATTTTTTATAATATTCCTTTATTACCCTTTTTAATGTCCATGTGATCAATATTAGTGGCCCCTCTTTCTGTTCTGATATTAGTAATTTGTCTTCTTTTTTATTTTTAACTTAGCCAGAGGCTTATCAATTTTATTGATATTTTAAAAAGACCAACTTTTTTTCCTCTGTTTCTTCCTTGGGTTTTAGTTCTTTTCCTAATTTCCTGTGGTGGAAGACTTGATGATTGATTTTTAGATCTATCTTAACATGTACATTCAGTGCTATAAATTTTCCTCTAAGCACTGCTTTTGCCTCATCCTACAATTTTTGATAAGTTGTATTTTCATTTTCACTTCAAAATATTTTTAAACTTCTCTAAAGACTTCTTTGACCTATATATTTATGAGTCTGAGAGAGCATTATTTTTAATTTAACGTGTCTTATGGCTCTGAGTGTGGTCATTCTTGGTGAATGTTTTGTGTGAACTTGAGAAAAGTGTATATTCTGCTGTTGTTGGATGAAGTATTCTATAGATGTCAGTCATATTTAGTTGGTTAATGGTGTTTAGTTCAGCTTTCTCATGCTGAATCTGTCAATTAGTTACATTGTGTTGATCTTCAAATATATAAGTGGATTTATCTATTTCTCCTTGCAGTTCTATCAGTTTTTGGTTTGTGTATTTTGATCCTGTTGGTTGGATTATCTTTTTGGAAAAATTATCTGTTTATTATATAAAGCCCTGCTCTGATAGTTTTCCTTCCTGTGAAATGCGTGTGAAGTTAATATAGCTACTCCAGCTTTCTTTTGATTGTCAGTGTGGTGTATCTTTTTCCATTCATTTTAATTTTTGTTCTTATGTTTAAAGTAGGCTTCTGTAAGTAACATAATTAGGTCCTGTTTTTTTAATCTACTCTGATAATCTTTTAATTGATGTAATTAGATTGTTGATAGTGATTATTGATAAGGTTGGATTAATATCTACTATGTTTGTGATTGTTTTTTATTTGTTGCCCTTGCTCTTTCCTTTCTTTATGCCACTCTTTTTCTGCCTTTTGTTTCCTCCCCCAACACCCATCATATGTGTGTTTTAGTCTGTTTACATCTGGTACATTTTGTCTTAAAATAATCACACAGGACTAAAGTCTTTACATGGGTCACCATTTAATCCTCCCAGTAGCTATGGGGGGGCCCCCTTTGTTTTAATTTTAATTTAGTATAATGGGAGTGACTGTTTATTGTATTTACTGTAGATTTAATTCACTTAAAAATTATCTTTCTGCCTGCAAAAGTAACATGTACTGGCAGTGAATTTGGGAAGGAAGAAAGCAGTAATAGTAATTAAGTTGAGAGAGAGCATGGAATGAAGGTTAGGCACATGAGTCCTGGCTCTAAACCTCTTGGGTTCACATCCCAGCTTTATCACTCAGTCACCACACTTCTCTGTGACTGAGTTTTTTTCATCTGTGAATTAGAGATAATCACCACCTGCCTCATGGGGATGTGGAAATTTTAAACAAATTATCATATGTTAGGCACTAAGGGTTAGCTTTTAGTGTGCACACATGAAGGGAGTTTGTGCTGTGCATGTTTTCTTCAAGTACCTGACAAGTTTTATAGAAGGTAAGCTTTCTGAATTCCTACCTGTCTTAGGCAGGAGAAATATATTTTCGTACTTGGTTGGTAACTTGACTGGGTAGAGACTGCCTTTTTTGCCTCTAAAAGTTTCTAGGACCTGATGTTTCCTGAGAGTGTAATTTATTCTAGGAACTTTTACTTAGGAATTAGCTAGACAGTTTTATGCTGAAGACTTGCATCCTTTGGCACAGGGTTTTTTTTCTTCTATTATGTGTTTGATCATTTTTCTGCTTCTGCTTTCTCTTTCTGGTGCATCTGTGAAGGGGATGTTGAATTTCCAAGAGTGACCATCCCTTAGCTTTTCCCTTTTAATCTTTGTTTTGCACAAAAAAGCTGTTCTTGAATTTATCTTGACAACCATTTTTAATTTCTGAGGGCTCTTGGCCTTGCTTTGGTACTTTCTTCCAAACTTGTCAAATGGACAGGGTTTTCCTGCCTAGGGAGTAAGGGCCTGGTGGCTAGAGCCTATGGCCCAGTGAGGGAGGGGCCCTTTTGGTCCAGAATGCTGACTTCAGCCCCTTTGACTACCTGTCTGGATGGATACCACATGGGTGTTCTTAGCCACATCTGGCCGCCAGCTCCAGGGCTAGCCTCTCAGGCTTACCTTCTTCAGTATAGCTCTATCCAGTAGAGCTTTATGGGATAATGGAATGTTCTAGGTCTGCACTGCCAGTAAAGTTACCACTAGCCACATGTGGCTCTTAAGCACTTGAAATATGGCTAGTATGACCAAACTGAATTGTAAGGTTTATATGATTGCACTTTTAAAAAACTTTTTATAAAAGCTGTTCTAAGTGGTATGAGGTGATGGAATGTTTTGGCAACCTAATAGGTGAAAGATCTTGTTTTGACCCATACTGACCTGACTTCAGTTGAGTTTGAGCATCTCATTGCTCTTATGGAGATATGGTTATTGGCTGCTTTCATTTTATGATAGCAACGTTTCTTTCCATACCATTTCTCCGTTTGTTTTATTTTTTCATCGACCTGAAGTGTTTTATGCACACAGTAAACATATAAGGCTTAGTATCAAAAACAGTAGTTCCTTCTTTGTTCTCCAATGCAACTACTTTTGGCTGCTTTAGATGATCATTAGATAATATCCTTCTAACACTTGTTTTAATTTAAGGAATAATCCATTGATTTCTTTCTCCTTATTCCACCCAACCACCTATAGAAACACAACTGGGTCCCTCCTCCCAACTCCGTGCTGCCCATCAATAATGCAATACAGTTGAACAGTAACCTTCATTAGGGTCATACTGTATCTACCTGTAATCTTCACAGCTCAGCTGTGTGATTACTTTTTTTTTTCCACAACTTCTTATTTTCTCTGGAATTAATAATTTTCTTTAGCATATTTTTTAATTTACTTCTATTTCTTTGTTAAATCATCTATATGGTCTTTCCTATTAAATCCTTTGTATATTCAAGTACTGGACAAATTCTATTAATTTTAATTTTATTAAAAAATGTTTTTAAAACTTTCTGACTTTATTTAGGACTGGTGCTGGGAGTGCCTGGATGGCTCAGTCATTATGCGTCTGATTTTGGCTCAGGTCATGATCTCAGGATCCTGGGATCCAGCCCTGCATCAGGCTCAGTGCTCAGCAGGGAGTCTGCTTGTCCCTCTCCTCCTGTCCTGCGTCCTGCTTGTGTGTACTCTCTCTCTCTCTCAAATAAATAAAATCTTACCAAAAAAACCCAAACAAAAACAAACAAACAAAAAACTGGTGCTGTCTTGGTCTGATGGATAACTTTTATCCTGGTAACAACCTTTATATATTGCTATTTGTTCTATGGAAACTATTTGTTTCGAAACTATTTGCTATTTGTTCTATGGAATCTATTTGTTCTGTGGAAAAATGCCACTGGAATTTTGATAGGAGTTGCCTTGACTCTTTACTGTATGTCGTATTAACATTTTAATAATTTTCCAGTTTATGAGCACAGAATATCTTGCCATTTATTTGTGTCTTCAGTATGTCTTATCAGTGTTTTGTAGTTTTCAGTATACATGTTTTTACTCTGTGGTTAAATTTATTTCTAGGGTTTTTTTTTTTTTAATGTGACTTATTACCTTTTTGATTTTTCTTGTTCATTATTAGTATATAGAGGTACACAGTATTTTTGCATATTCTTTATTCTGTAGATTTAATGAATTTATTTATTCTAACA